TTTCTGATGGATTCAGCATGGTAGATTATCTATATTCTGTAACTTAAATATTATTATCTGTGAATAACTTTTTTTATGTTATCAAAATTGACCGATCTTCGACGACATCTATCTCCCAAGTACAGAAAAAGTTTGGTTAGCTTTTTATCCCCCTGTACCAGTAAATATTATTTCAGTCATCTCTTTGCATATTTTCTTTCTCATGAAAAAGTAATTTTCTATTTTTCTCTCTTGGGGTTGTGATTGCCTTATCCATAGAATATCTAATAGCCATTTTTCCGTATTTTGCGCACAGACAATAATAAAAGCCTCAGCAGTTTTCTTCTGTAATGTCACGGAATAGGTGTAGACAGTTATCGGTTCCTTTTGAAGAAGAATACTCATGTAACCTGTAATAATGAGTCACTTCAGACACATTTGTCCATTTATTGTTCAATGTGTTAAGAACTTTATTTAAGCTCTTATTTTCTTCGGTTATCGCACTGAGATAAATAAAGCAAAGAATAGCATGTCTGAATATTATCCAAATGATCGCAATACTTTGATCATAAGTCTACGGCACTAACATAAATCCTAATTAAAATGGTAAATCCTTAAATCTTCTTTTTTTGAAATATGTCCGATAATAATTATGAACGTGTACTCTTTGAATTAACATCAACCTTTAATGTACCACCATTTTTAAGAAGTTCTGCATATTTGTCAACACTAGGATCGAAACCTTTTGCTGGTAAATTTCTCGCTTGTTTATGACTTTAATTCAAATTGCGAACCCACAGACAAAACATACCTTAATATCGAATTAGTATCAGCTGCTGAATCTATAAAAGAACTCCATTACTCAAACACGGCAGATCATGAGTGCTGTGACTGAAACGGATCCAAAACGGTTCGTCCTGGTGACAGATTTATCACCATAATGACAGCAATTATTGAGATTAATTCAGATTTAAAAAAGGAAATTTTTACAATATCATGGCTCTCGCCCTATGGGAATGGTATCTTTCAAATTTAGGTTCTATCATACACTAACTCTTATGGTAAATATTACCAAGTTTTCCTGAGAAAACCCATAGTATTTTTTCTTCAGTGGTTAAATTAAACGAGATAAGCAACCCGAGAATATAAATATTTTCAAATTGCAGCCTCTACAAAATATTTTTACCACTAAGTTTTACTAACTTTTGATATTCAAAGTAGAGTTTACTTTCTTTATCCAGTATGATTCCCGTGCTTTTCGATGATCCCCATTAAGATAACCTATCTCAAACGGTATAATCATAACATCCCGAATGGAATGATTCTTCTGGCTAAAGTGTAACCCCACTGTTGAGGTCCGTTTAACTCTGATTTGGGATGTATGTCCAAAAAACGTTCTCGAGCTGATGCTCCTGTTTCTCCAATATACTCCTCCCCACATCGCTTACATAGGATATAGTAACAAACGTTAAGCTTGTCACAATTCAGTGTTTGATTTAGGTTTAATTTTATTCCTGACGAGGTGGAGATACTCGTACAATTATCTATACTTAAACTACAGAAGAAACAGTATTTTCTTGAACATTTCTTAAATTCCGTCTGTTCAGATGCAGATGGTGGGACAATATCCATTAAGTTTCCCAAATGGTTTGAGTGTACAAGTAAACGATGTAGATTCTGTGAACACGCACGTATATGTTAGAACGTACTTAGACCAATCTACGTTTGAAGCCGAATATTTTCGAAAAATCTCTTCTATTCGACTAAACTGTTTGTTATATGTGGGTACAAGTACTTTTTGGTCTTTTGTCCCAAACCCTTCCCGGAAACAATGGCTTTCTTCTGTTTTAGTAAATCCATTCTGTCTAATTTGTCAACTTTCTGAATTTTGGACACTACATTTTTCGGCCTATATCCTCGTTTACTCAATCGATGAACAATATTGGCGTATTCTCGCCATTTCTCGATATCACCATTGCAAATTCGTTTAACTCTATGTGCAAGTGTAGTGGCTAAATTGTCCAATATAAATATGGGATGTCCTGACTCTAATCGAACGTATTGGAAAGTGTCTGTGGATTTTTTGAAAAGTTTTGAGATCAATTTGTTGAGTATTGTATTTTTTGTAATTAACACGTCCAGATAATTGATAATCGTCTCACCGAAACCTTCCACTTTATATTTTAGATTCAAATTTTCTGTATTCAGTTTCGAAAAAAATTGCTCAGCTTCTACTCTATCGCCATACCAAAGGATTAAGACATCGTCCAGGTAAGGTAGCGAAAAAATTGGAAAGGCAACTTCTTGCATTTGTCGAATAGCCTCAGTTCATTTAATAAAACAAACAGGTTAGCATATGGTGGCGCACATGGGGTTCCCATTGCCGTACCGAATTTCTGTATATAGAATTTTCTACCAAAATAAAATGAAAGATGTTATTACCTAACACTATTTTGAGTAATCCGACAAGCCCCTGACGCGAGATGGGTATGCCGGAAGTTTTTCTATTTTCAAAAACGAAATTCGACACTCTTGCTACACCTTCGTCAATAGGAATATTAGTATATAAGGATTCAATATCTGTCGTAGCAAACCAAAATTTGCCTAAATCGAGCCTTCGACTCAGAATCTCCTCGTTCACAGATTCAATCTCAATAAGCAATTGTTTTGTGCTACTCAGAACTCTATAGAAATCGTAGTGATATTTCTCCTTAATAAATTTAGATGAACCGTCGACAAAAGGTTGTAGGACTTGACAGAGAAATTTTGATGCTCTCTCAGTACAATGGCCAATATCTGCCACTATCGGTCTACCCGGACATCCTCCCTTATGCACTTTTGGGAGTACATAAAAGTTCGGCAATCTAGGAAGACCTCTGTGCCTAATGTTATGCGCGAGTCTAGATGGAATATGGTGTTGTATGATGAGTTCGTTAATTCTATCCCTCACAGTTTTATATGTTCCCCACATGGGGTTTTTTGCAATTCTTGCATAATTCCGTGTATCATTTAATAGTGTGTAGGCTTTCTCTTAATAAGCATCTTTGCTCATCACTACAATCCCCTGTCCTTTATCCGCTTGTTTAATCACAATATCTCGACGTTTCTTTAAACCGTCCAACGCTCTATATTCCTCTCTTCTCATATTGGGGCGAAACGCACCCGAAGATTGCACTATTGCATCGCGTATCAAATCCTTCCTCAGTTTAAGGGAGAGGATGCGTCTCCGAAACATGTTTTATTTCATCTACTAATTTCGATTCCACCTTCATATGTTTTGTTGAAATATATTTTAGACCATACTGGAGGACTCTTAATTCATTTGCATCTAGATGCACATGTTCTATCTTAAAAACATGTTCCGACACTCGAAGTGGTTCATCCGAATTAATAGGAGAAAACTGTCACTGCTTCTCGATGCCACTCCTACTTGGAGTGGTATCTGTATGGCTCATATATCGCAAAATTTCGTTTCCATTAATATCAGATTATATGCGATATAACATACATGCAGATGATGGAAAGCGAGAAAAAATATGTTTTAATTCATAGATATTTTACTTCCCGATCTATAATTCATTGTACTGGTAAAGAGAATATTTTCTTTTTAAATACAATAATCTTTAAACGCATGTAATCTGATATTAATGGAAACGAAATTTTGCCATTAAAAAAGTCAGATCATTGCGGTCATATAGAGTGAAGCACCTTAGTTTTTCGCACAGTTTAGTTGCTTTTAATCGAAAAACAAACAAACCTGGTGTACTTAAATATGTGTGTTAGAAAAAAAGTCGTAAAGAAAGAAAAAGATTAACATGAGAAAAAAACTTATATTTTTTAGTTTCTGTAGGGAGAAAGAAAGTGATATGTGTTATTAATGTCATCTTTAATGTGCATTAATAATCTACTAATGTTTTCTGTTTAGTAACAAAAAGTTGCACATTTTGTGCATTATTAGTATAAAATTGTATTTGGTAACGATGAACGGGTTAATCAACTGTGATAGGAGAAAAAAATACACGAACAAACCTGCAGACGACTATTTCGTATTTATTGGTGTAAATGGTAAGTTGTAAAATATTATACAGTTAAATTTTCTAGTATTACTGTTTTTCTTGTTATTGATAAGATCATAAATACACATTATGAATTTGGTAATTATTATTTTATTTGTAATAACAACGATAGCGGCTGATCATCGTCGACCAGTTATTATTGATACCGATGCAGATATTGATGATCTATTTCCAACTTCGAAATTTCATTCATCGATAGCTGAATCCACCGTTTTTTCCAGTTTTGAACTGACAGACTTTTTTATGATTTCCCCGCTAGTGGTTCAATTGTTGTTATTAGTTTCATCCTAACATTAGGGTGATTCTTTCGGAAACGCGTCATACTTTACGGCGAGCATTTTTTCCTACTCATTTTTGATGATGTATTCGTTGCACAAAACCCAACCGGGTATTTAATTGTTTTTTAACAAGGATTTTTTAATATATACAAGTTTTTGATCAATATTGTAGATTAAAAACCATTTAAAAAAATCTAATATAAGTGTGACTTATTGTCATTTAATAGTTGTCTACATTTAAAACGTTTTGATCACATAAAACGACTGTCATTGTACTTCTCTTTGAATAATTTGTTAGGAGAGAGTGTACGCAGAAGCCTACAAAAATCCGGTGGATGTTGGAATATCCTGCAAGTTTTTGCATCAGGTTGCCCAGCCGAAAGTTGCCCTGGGCGTTGTCGCGTATAATCCTACAGTATTTTTCAACACACTTACGTTTCAAGACACTTTACTGCGGATTTTAGAGGGATCTTCTCTAAGTACACCATGCGGGAGCTTTTACATGCATCTGTCGAATATATATTTCTCAGATTTTTTACTCTGTTTATTGAGACGAAGCTAAGTAGCAGAAGTAGAGATTCTAAGCGGTACGTTGCAAAATATTATACAGTTAAATTTCCTAGTATTACTGTTTTTCTTGTTATTGATAAGATCATAAATAGACATTATGAATTTGGTAATTATTATTTTATTTGTAATAACAACGATAGCGGCTGATCATCGTCGACCAGTTATTATTGATACCGATGCAGATGTTGATGATCTATTTGCTATTGCTTATCTGTTAAATGTACGTAATATCTACACCATACATGGATCACTAAAATCAGTACTGTTGCTATTCACAGAAAAACTTCCTCAATTATTGACGACATTTTCTCCATGTATTATCATTATTATGGATTGAAACAACCAGATTTTTTCCAATTTAAGTCTCATTCAAACTAAATCGAATCGATTCAACTTTAGAATCGATTCTGTTCGGTTTAACTCCCAAACACAGGAGTTTTCTGAGTTCAGATTCGCTTCTACTCGACTCAACATTCGGAATCGGTTTGATCGAAGTCTCAAAGAAATCAATTTTCTTCAAGTGTCTCTCATTTTTTCCCGAAAAAAAAGGTCCAGAAAGAATAAAATTTAGTACGGCTAATTCAAAAATCGAGCAAAACTTTTTTCTGACCTTATTATACACCATTCGATAGCGTTTCTCGAGCTGATCAAGAATATGTAGTCAATCGTGCTCGATTGTGGAATTAGCTGCACCTTAACTGGTGTAGTAAAAAGCAACTTTTAAAGATGATTCGAAAATCCTTCAATCTATATCTAGTAAAAAAAAAATGCTACAAGACGTTACTCACTGTTTCTTTGGACAGAATCGCTATTTGTTTTAGGCAGTGATTTTATTAGGAAAAGCATAACCAAAGTAGCGGCATGCCATCTCCAACGTTTCGATTTATCTGTTTCTGTATATTCTTGATAATGATTCAGAACAAAAGCACATCGAAACATTCGAAATTGAGAATGAATCAAACCTCTGCTTTTGTTATACTTTTCTTAATGAACAGAATCTTGTTTTCATGAACGTTTCAGAGAATGTGTCTAAACATATGAAACAAGATATACCAGTTTCTATTACACACCATAATTTCATCACCATCATCGGCGATAATCAGTTTTCGAACAGAACGCGTATGAAGAACGAAGAATATTCTTTAGATCGATCATACATGGAAAATGCCTTCGGTACAACTGAAAATGTTTTTTTCTACTCAAGAAAAGACCAATAATACAGTATGATAATGCTCCATGTACAAATCAGGAATACTTATTCTCTATTCTCTTACATCTCTAAAGAATTTCCTTAGGTTCCAACAATTAAAATATTGGCTATAACAACAGTTGGTAATGCTTTTACGTATGTATAATCTGTAACCCTACATAATTTTGAAAAAAAAGTGAGATATTGAGGCGAGGTACGTATTAGCTTCTATATGACATGTCTTAAGCTAACTTCTCACTTGGGCAAAAACGATTTTTCAAGTTATAACTGACACTAGGAGTTTAGCTAAGGCACGATATATAGATGCATGAGCTGAATAATTCTTAGAATATGATGCAAGACAGAATCTAATTTCTTTAGTGGAGTATAATCTTAATTAAAATTTATGTTTATTTTTATCTAAAGAACTCCATTTTATACGGCACCAATTGTTTTAACATTGTTAAGTAAACTCAATTGTGAATATGGTGTACCAGTAGCCTACGGAGAAAGGTAAAGATCATTTTTTGTTTTATTTTATTATTCCTGCTGTGTACTTAATCAGGAGCATCGTAAAAAATAAATTGTTCTGGTAGATGTATCTCAATAGTACGGTCACTCATGATCAAAACAGTGTGTAGGTTCTTTGTTCTGCTTAAGTGTGTAACAGAAGAAGTGTGCCCAACACACATTCACGTACGTAAATGAGACACTGTCATCAGCCATTCTAGACTGTCACTCGTTCGACCACTGAACTTTCGTAACATGCAAGATGTCGACTCCTTCTCTGACGAATGAACAAGCAAAGCATGTATTTTGAGTAGGCTAGACTACGCTAGTGTAGTTTAATCATAAGTAAATGGTATAAAGAAGATTTAGATCAAATTACTAAATTAGCTGCTCTTATGATCTCTAAAAAGTTTGATGGTTCGGTAACCTCTTTGATCACCAAACTAAAGCTGCCATATTTATCTACATGGCGGAAATACTTTCGGTTATTACATTTTTTCAAAGTTAAAAGTTTTTTCTCACCTCTCTTCATTTTCGATCCATCTTTTATAAAACCATTAGCAGTCAAAAGATCAGTTTGAATAGTAACCGGCAGAATAGAACGCAGGTTGAGGCACCGACAGTATCGAAAGAACATGTTGCTTCTTCTTTTTTCTACCGTGCCGCTATTGACTGGAATTCTCTACAAAATACTGTTGTATCTTGTCAAATAGTTACTACTTTCAAACGAGCATTACGCGCTTATCTCTCCATATAAGTGAGTTGTTGTTATTTTTTGTTATTGATTTTTCTTCTATTTTCTAAGTTCTATTTTCATTTTTTTGTGAGTTAAATCGTATCACAAAGAAGCTGTAAGAGTGAAAATCAAACATGACTACCTTAGTTCATACTTTAAATACTGTCCTAATTTAACGCTAATTCGGTATAAAAGCTTTTATTCCAACGCTTAAATACGGATAAAATTAAATTTTCACCATTAGGTACTTAGGGCTGACCAAAAGTTCGTAGAACGGTGATTACGCCCTGCCCCCCTCACACCGTGATCAAAACGTTTGGTCAGCCCTAAGTATATTCTGATAGCGCTGGAAATTCTCTATCGTCTTATATATTTGTCTACTGTCTTGCATTTATCTATTGCAAAAATAACTTGAGTACAATGAAGACACCCTCAATTGACAAGCGTGCCTGCGTGATAGTCAAATTATTCTTCAGCACATAAATGCAACATAAGACAAAAATATACAGGATGATAGACAATTTGAAGCTCTATCAGAATGTTTAATTCCTTTTATAAAGATTCATTTCCATAGTATCTATAATTTGAAAACGCATAAAAAGCAGCGAATTTTCGTACTTGTCAATTGAGGATATCTTCATTGTACTTAAGTTATTTTTGCAATAGATAAATGTAGGCAGTAGACAAATATATCGGATGATAGAGAAATCCAAGCGCTATCAGAATATACTTAGAGCTGACCAAAGGTTTTGATCCTGGTGTGAGGGGAGCGAGCATCATCGTTCTACAACTTTTGGTCAACCCTAAGTATATGATCTGCATAAAAACTGTGTATGATGATGTATATTTCATTAAGGTGAAGAAAGAAAGTTTGTCCACTGGCCCACGAGAGACAATCGTTAGCTGACATAGCCACTTCATACAGCTCAGTTGTTGAACAAAAATTTTGCCGATAAAGAGATGAAAGACACAGAGTCTATCGACAGAAAAGAGTAAATGTACTTTTGATCACCAAATATATTTAGATACAAAAGATCACCAAAAAAGGATACTTTTGATCACCAAATTTTTCAGCATGCATATCACATTTTTATTTCTCAACAAAGTACAATGTACAACACACACAGATTCATTGAGATTTTAACCAAACGAACAATGTTTTACAGTTTTATTTATATCCATTTAAAAAATTTGAAGCTGTACTAACTTTCTTGGGACGCCCTTTTGCTTTTCGTGTGCCTAATGGTTGAATACGTGTTTTATCGCTAACTTGATACAAGTTAAATAAAATTGCTAATCCGACAGAATGTTTACACGAATATACTAATAATAGTACAACAA